GCGGTCCACACAGTCAAAGGCTTTTGCGTAGTCAATGAAGCAGAAGTAGATGTTTTTCTGGAACTCTCTGACTTTCTCCATAATCCAGCCCATGTTAGCAATTTGGTCTCTAGTTCTTCTGCCCCTTCGAAATCCAGCTTGTTCTTCTGGGAGTTCTCGGTCCACATACTGCTGAAGCCTACCTTGTAGGATTTTGAGCATAACCTTGCTAGGATGTGAAATGAATGCAATTGTACAATAGTTGGAGCATTCTGTGGCAAAAGCGATCACAAAACATCAGCGTACAGCGGATTCATCGTAGTGCGGGGTAATCGTTCAGCAGAGCACAACTGTACTACAATGTTTAAATATTCCATTTTTTTGCTTTACAGATTTAAGTTTATCTTGGTTAAAGGCAAAAGCGATCACAAAAACATCAGCATAAAGCGGATTCATTGTAGTGCGGGGTAATCATCCAGCAGGGCACGACTGTACTACAGTGTTTAAATATTCCATTTTTTTGCTTTACAGATTTAAGTTTATCTTGGTTAAAACTTCTCATATTCCATGTTCCAACTGTATGTGTCAAATTTAATTTCACCTCTGTGTATGCTGTCTACTAATCATCCTTTCAGCTTTGGTTGCTGTGAAGGTTTGAAAGAGGCCTCCTTAGGTTTAGACATAGACACGGAAAGCTCGGTTGTCAGAAATTCAAGACTTGGATTTATTGGAACATTTAACGTATGATCTGTAACTCTGAAATCGGTAACAATTTTGTCTCTCGCTGCCAGCGGGTCCCACGAGGGCATCCAAACATCTTGAGAAAATGGGTTGTAAGCAGACTCGTTCCATGGACCCTTAGCAAAGGGGTTAGTGTCCTCTAAGTCCAAAGATTCCAAACCTGGGTCGATCAAGGGAAGGGTCTCCTCATCTCTCCCCTCCAGGTCAAAGGGATCTTCTCTCCCTGGGGTGCTTTATCTCTCGCTGCCAGCGAGTCCCACGAGGGCATCCAAACATCTTGAGAAAATGGGTTGTAAGCAGACTCGTTCCATGGACCCTTAGCAAAGGGGTTAGTGTCCTCTAAGTCCAAAGATTCCAAACCTGGGTCGATCAAGGGAAGGGTCTCCTCATCTCTCCCCTCCAGGTCAAAGGGATCTTCTCTCCCTGGGGTGGGAGCCCACGGTCTGGCCAAAACCCTCTCCAGCAAGCCTCCTCCAGCCTCCATGCTCTCACACTCTTCTTTCTCCACCTCTTCCTTCTTCTCTCGTAACGTCCGTCGCCACTCTCGGGCTTCGGATTCCTGCCAATATGAAGGCCGAGGAGGCAAGCCTCTCCTCCGGCGATAGTCTGCCTCTTCCCGAGGCACCCGGACCTTTTCACATTTCCCGGTCCAGGGATCTTCTATCCATATCGATTCCCAACCCCTCAGTATGTCATCTCTCTTCCCTTTTATATCCCCAGTTCCCGCCTCTACCATCGGCCTGCCCCTTTCTTCTGTTCCCGCCTTTTCAGTCCCAGTTTGAGTGGATACAGACACCTTTGCCAACAGGGTGAATACATATACTGTAAGTCTGGCTTCTCAACTTTGATTGTTCTGCTTTGGACGTCCCTGTTAAGAGTCCAGACTAGTAATGGAGTCTAGTGTCCTTATAGCATCACTGTCAGCTTCCCTGACACTTAAACCCCTTAGTACAGTAAGATGTGCATCCAAGGGGGTGAGATAGTTTTCCATAATATAAACTAGCTTGCAAATGCTTTAGATTCTGATCTTGATTTACTCTAAGCAGACAAGGCAGATGTCTCTGGGGGGCCTCATAATTACTGAAAAAGAAAAGGAGAGAACCATTGTGTAAAAGGAAATAAAAACTAAGCTAGATTACTCCTATTATTGTTCACTAACAATAATTAGTAATACAATACAGAGGCGATTATTGTATTATGTTTTCTTTTTGCTGCTAACGAGCATACTTATTTTGGTTGCCATGTATTGAAAAGTGCAACTATTGAATTTATGTATGATTTTGCTGCAATTAATGTTCCTTTTGAAGCAATCGTTACATTTTACCACATTGCATAGTGAGGGTGTTGCAACTAGGAACATCAGTCTGTAAACAAAAAGGGCCTCCACACATCTTCATTATGCTTGAAATACTAAAATAAGTAGTATAATTTGAAAGAAGTGATTGAAAATCCCTTTAAAGTTCTGCAAGAACTCTTTAGCTAAACGTTGTTACTTGATTGAAATATCTTTTATTGCCTCTGTTGTAAAGGGATAACATCACGTGTATAAGAGAGAAGCTGGCCAGAAGTTCTGTGAGAATTTCCCATAACTTGCATAGTTTAAGACGATGGAAGTACTTCCAGAACTCTATGACATTTTCCGAGGAGAGGTATGTACTCAAATTATCAATTTTCATAATGAGAGAAGAAGGCATGCTTTTGAATAGTTTCTGAGTTTTTATTTTATTTTAAAGAGTTGGCAAAATGCCACTATGAGGCTACAACCTGAAATCCTCTTATTAAAGGGCAATACAATGAATACAGTGAGGTTTGCATGTCAGTAAGTATACATTACTTGCATTACTTGTGCATAATTACATGGACTTGACAAGAAAATCTCTGAAATGAGGATTATAGCCTTAACAGCTTTTAAAATAATAAATGGCTTCATCATGCTTACGAGGGAATTGGTCTTCAGCTTTCAGGCTCAGTAGCATTGTATGTAGGTTGAGTGGCTTATGCCATAATTTCTAACAGTGCAGTTGGTTGAATATCTGCTGAGATATTAATCCCATGGAACTGAATGGAATTTTTTTTACTTCATTTATATGTTGACTTTCTCCCAGTAGTGGGATTCAAGGTGGCTTGCAAATCATTACAAGTACAAGAATTAAAGGCAATATATAGTATTTACAATGTATTCTTAAGGCTTTCACAGCTGAGATCCTATGGTTGTTGTAGGTTTTTCAGGCTGTTTGACCGTGTTCTGAAGCTTTTTCTTCCAACCCGGGTCATGGACCGCATGGGGAAACTTTTGAGAAAACACAACCTACAAACAGTATTCAGGCCCACCAAGAAAATACAACAAATGTTACAGTCAGCAAAGGACAAAGGGGACCCCCTCACCACTGCAGGAGTATACCAGTTGTGGCCAGATATATATTTGAACCACAAAACAAAGCATCCACACCAGAATCAAAGAACATGAGGGACACTGCCGACTAAAACAACCGGAAAACGTGCCTTGTTTTAGGGCATGTTCAGTAGCTGAACATGCCCTAAAACAAGCTGGACATGAAATTCTATTTCAAAACACAGAAATACTGGACAACACCAGCAATCACTATGTTACACTGCACAGGGAAGCCATTGAAATCCACAAACGCCAGCAGAGCTTCAGGAAAAAGGAGAAAGTCTAAAACTCAACAAAGCCTGGCTCCTAGCATTGAAAAATACAGCTTGCAAAAGGTCAACAAATTACCCAGCCACAAGGACCAGTGATCACCGTACACAAAAGACCAGCTAACAACACCCATTGTGATCACCGTTCACAAAAGACCAGCTAACAACACCCATCAATCACAGTGACAGATTATCTCTCGCCCCCGTATCACAACAATACACCCGCAACAAAAAACACACTGATCGCTATAATCACCCAGTCTCCTAAAAAGGACGAAAAGCTGATCCCACAGCTCTAAATACTCAACTATCCCACAAACTGCACCAGAGTACAGACAGAATCCTGACTCCTGTCCTCTGAAGGTGTCGGCCACAGAGACTGGTGAAACGTTAGGAAGAACAACCTTCAGAACATCGCCAGACAGCTCAAAATACCTACAACCATCAGTATTTGGAATAATCATACAAAACAGATTAAATAATATTAAAACCTTTGAAAACGATACATTAGCAGCAAACATATAGGAACCAGTTACATTAAAATCAAATATTAAACAACAAAAGCCTGTTATAATAAAAATGTTCACTTGCCACTGAAAAGAGGAGAAGGAGCCAGCCTAGCATCATGAGAGAGGACATTCCATAACTTACTTGCCTTCCAGATGTATAACAGCACAACTTAACAGCACAATCTAAATACATACGGCCAGTTAGCATGTAGAATTATAACCTAAGGGAAAGTGATAAATTGAATTTGAGATGGATAATGTAGATGAAGGGGGACTGTACGTACGGTCAGGTTCAGTTTGATATAAACTTGTTAAAAACATATCAGGCAGCAGGTTATAGGAAACACCTCAGCATTAGATTTGATAAACATTTCTCATCTGAGTAGCCCATATATGGGTTTGTATGATTTTCTATAGTATTATTGAGAAATATTGCAATAAATTTCACTTATTTTGTTGATAATGGTATTGCTTTCTTTTTAGGTTGCTTCTGTGACAGAGTATGGAGCATTTATAAAAATTCCAGGAACAAGGAAACAAGGTTTGAGTCTCTATCAGAAGATCTATATGGTAGTTTAGTTTCCATTTCTAGAAGTATTAGCTATCAGAATGGATAAATGTCTCTGTAAAGGAAGAGCGAGCAAAGAACAGCTGTTCCAATTTTGTTGGATTTCCACTGTTCTTTGCCATTGGCCATGCTGGCTAGTGCTGATAGAAGTCACAGTCTGGCAACATCTCGAGAGCTGCTTGCTAACCCTTATAGCTCTTGGTGATAGAATAATTCAAGATTTTTTTCATCTTGTTGATCTCATCTGCTACAACAAAACATAACAAATTCTTTTCTTTTGTATTTATTGTTAGGCCTTGTGCACAAAAGTCACATGTCAAACTGCCAGGTGGATAAACCTTCAGAGATGGTGGATGTTGGAGAAAAAGTATGGGTGAAGCTCATAGGAAAAGAGGTACAGTATTGTTGCTACTCCCTTTTTGAGGCCTTGTGAAATACAGGGGACTCTACAAAATTGTTGTTGTTTCCATAACATTACACCATAGTTCTAACTTTGTCCATCTTACAATCATATATTGCTTGTCCAATAACAAGGTAGCCTGCATGGGGTTCTGGCTCTGACTGGAAGCAAATGGGTGGCAACACTATCTTGGCTCTACTCTCCTGATGCAGCTCTGTGCACCTGTGCAGTTTAGAGAACTTTAGTCATACTGGATGTATGCAGATGGAGCAGACAATCAGTAAAATTAAATTTTTATTTATTAGATTTAAATTCATGATATAACAAATCCTTTATGGACTGCATGCAATGGAGGCACAATCACAAAAGGAATATAGGAATTTCAAGTGGTAGAAAGCTATCTGCCACATTATTATGGATTTCAGATCCTGTCAACTGGATCCTCATTGTGGGGCCATTGGCTTGAAAGTGAATCTCCATCACTTATACTGTAGATTTCCACAAAAGTCAAGCTTTAAGACCAATTTGGATAGCTTAGCCAGAATGTCAACGGTGATTCAGACAATCAAATCACTGCTAATGTGTGCCTTCTGTGCTGGGGAAAATATGGCCAAAATCCAGTTCATTTAATGTTATACGTCTGAATCTGATGACGTCATCAGCCCACACTGGTAACAGTTAAGTAAAATTAACTAAAAGCTTCGTATGTCACAGTTTCAGGCTGCAAGGTTCCCTAGGGCTACATTTTTTTTTTATTCTAGGGAGGCCCTTGGGGGCTTTGTGGTAGTGGAAGGTAGAGACACAGATGGTGAAAAATTGCTGCTAGATTGCTCCCACAGGTCCTGATCTCACTGATGGTAATCTGGCAACAATTGTTGATTTATGAACTCTTTTTTCCTCCCACTATCCCAAGCCTCTGAAAGGCTTCTCCATAGCAAAAGAGCCCAAGGGACCAAATAACCTAAAAGAGGGGCATAGGAAACTTTTAAATATTTTTAATTAGCTGTTACTGGCACCAAATGACGACATAATCAGTTTTCCCTGCATTAACTTTATGTGAACTGGATTTTGAGTACTGGATCTCTTCTGTAGTTTCACCAACTTTGCGCCACCATTATTAGTGTCAAGAGTCCCTGAACACGCACAGAATAAGTACTCTGAGATACATAGACAAATGCTGCCCAGAATTTTAGCTAGCCAAGCTTATAATAATGCTAATGGTATCCTCAAAATTCTCACTATAGATGGCTGATGCAGTATTAATGCTAATCTTACATTAATTATGAAACAAGAAGTGGGATAGGAACTGCCAGCAAGCCTGTTTTTTTCCTTTTCCATTGTACCATAATTTGCCCATTGCAGTCTTAATGTGTATTTGTACCATGGAGTGTTCACAAAATCCCAAATGTATATTTTCTTGTGTTTCAGAAGAAAGATGACAAGCTGAAATTGTCTCTTTCCATGAAGGTTGTTAATCAAGGAACTGGAAAGGATCTTGACCCCAACAATGTTGCTCTTGAGTAAGTGAAACATGCTGCTGTCCATAAAAAAAGTAAAAGTTAGTGAGGTTCTACATGTTTATTTTTTCTCTCACATAAATTCTCAATTTTTTGCAGTATAATTAGCAGTAAGAAGCACTCAGGTTTTCAAAATGCTACTCTTGGAGGGGAACGGGGGTAACGAAGCTTTCAGTCCTTATAAACTTTTTCTCCCACTTCTGGTAAAAAAGTATATTAATAGATTTTTGATGAAATGTGATTGATTTCCCAAGTTTGGAACAAATGCATTGATCTCACTGAGTAGAAAGAATGCATTACAGAACCATTTTGAATTGTTTTTCAGAAAATCTGTGTGAATCTGAGGAAACAAGACTTGTAAAAAGAGACCGTGAAAACCAGTCAGCTATAATCAGTTAACTTTAAGCTCAGTGGTACAGAATAGCAGATAGGAATTGTAATAAAAATATTGCTGATCAGAGTGCTGCTTTTAAGGTTGTCTGCCAAATAGCCAGCTATGTCCCCTGCTAGGATGTTCTATGCCATTTCCCTTCAGTCCTCCCAGAGTGCAGGATGTGTAATAATGGGCTCAATCTACAGAAAGCCAGATTCTTTATTTGATTTATTTTGTATTTTTCCCATCTTGGAGAATTATTTAATTAGTTAATTGTTATAAATCTCTCTTAAACTTGTTATGTTTTTATGTTGTAAGCCGCCTAGAGTGGTCAAAATGACTAGATAGGCGGGGTATAAATACAATAAATAAATAAAAATAAATAAATTAATTTACGCTGAATATCAGGAAAATTTCTTAACTATTAGAGCAGTACAAGAGTGGAACCAACCTCGGGAGGTGGTGAGCACTCCAGCACTGGAGGCACTCAAGAACAAATTAGACAACCATCTGTCAGGTCTGCTTTGACATGAATTCTGGCATTGAGCAGGGAATTGGACTTGATGGCTTTATAGGCCTCTTCCAACTCAATTATTTTATGATTCTGTACATGTGCAAAATACAAAAACTAACAAAAGAAGAAATACAGATATCGTAATACAACACAAACATAGTTAAAATTAGTGCACCCTTCAACAGGACCTGTAGAGATATTATTCTTCCAGCGTTTTGATTATGATGCCCCATAACCCTTCCAAAATAATATTATCTCTTTTTTGGATAGGCACTCTTCACCTTCAATAATACAAAGTTCAAAAAGTTATAATTCTGTGCTGAACATAACATTGTCAGTCCTCGCCAGATGTTTCGGTGGACCATCCCTTTCAGATTTTTCTCTGAAGATTTTGTGTATTTTTGGAGAGCTTTGGATTCCCTCAAGCCTTTCTACTTCCTTTATTGGTTGGTTTGGCCATATGTGGTCTCCAAGTGTGGATGCACAACACAGGAACAACTATCCATTTATAGTTACATCCCACTTTACACTGCTTCATTCGCACTGTTTCATTTTAATACACTTTTCATCATTCTCTCAAGAATCATTCAGTCACTTCTTTGGAGCAAACTGTCCCTCTCTTTCACCCATTTTTCATCTGTCTCCGTCTCACCCCTCCACTCCTTTTTATATATATTATCTCAGACAGAAACACACACACAATCCATGCATACACACGTGTGTGCAGGCAGGCAGGCAGGCAAGGGGGGTGGCCAATCAACAAGGAACTCTCCTGCAGCCCTTGCTGGGTAAGGTACTTCCTCATGTGGTAAGGGTGGGGAAGAAACTGAGCATACAAGGCGACAGTGGCAGCTGTCTTGCTTTCTCTTCTTTTTGTCTTATACACAATGCACACTCCCTTTTTCGTTTCCCCTTCTGCTGCTGTTCCTCCCATGCCATAAAGTTGGAATCAGCTCAAACTTTCACCAGAGTGGTCGACCAGACCAGATGGGCGAGATATAAATCAAATAAATAAATAAATAAATAAATAAATTGCATTTTCACCTATCCAATGAAAGTATAACATTATAACGACCCTGCTTACCACTTTTTCAGTGAGCATTCCACATTCTAGGAACTTATCCTGAGCACTAAGTGGGATATTACTATTCAGGGAAGGAATTAATACATAGGATGCTCTGCTGCTCATAGGGCTGTGTTTTGTTTACATTATCTATTTTCTGACAGTAGGTATGTGGGGAAAACACAGCAGAGCTCAAGTAGTACTCCCCCCATTTCCCCAAATCAGCAGGAAGAATTAATTTAAAAGCCGCAGAATTTTTAGTGTAATATTAATAAAGAGAGCTTGAGGAAGCCATCTTTAATATCTCAATTAAAACCACTTAAAATATTACCTCTGAATTTAACAGAACCATCCCCCACCCCACCCAATGATGAAGAGATTATTGTTCTGTGAATAACTCTTTATATCTGTACACAGTCAAGATATGCGGAAGAAGCGTTCATTTAAAGACTATACAAGCCAGAAGATCACTCTGGAAGCTGTCCTGAACACTGTTTGCAAAAAGTGTGGTTGCCCAGGTATGTTCAAATCAGTACATATATACATATGGTCTTTATTCTGGTCATTAATAATGAGCAACAGAAATCACAGAAAAAAGACAAAGTGTACAAAAAAGTATGTGAAAGCAAATTCAGCCTCTGTGAGTTAAAATAGTTGAGGAGAATAACCCATATTTTTGAGCCCATCTTTTGTAAATTTTTAGCTGACAAGGAAATTGCAGGAAATTGTATCAGGTAAACAACTGAGTCATCAGTTTTTTAATCTCTGTATGGAAACTTAGAAGGCAGAGAGTAATGATTTCCTGTCTGTAGTCATGTTAGAGCAATATGACAGTGGAACCAGTTACCTGGGGAGTTGGAGGCATTCAAGAAAAACTTGGCAGATATGGTTTGATTCTATTCCTGCATTGAGCATGGGGCTGGACTTGATGGCCTTGTAGGCCCCTTCCAACTTCACTTTTCTATGATTCTATGGTGAAAATGGCAACTTCCAATAAAGTAGAACATGGGAGAATCTCAAGAGTCTCCAGGCCATGTGATTCTTAACAATAAAACATATTATATTACTGTTGTTTGTGTTATGTGGTGTTTTGAAGGTAATAGCTGGAGCTGAAAACTATTCTGCTCTGTGCATGTGCAGAATCTGTTCATTCTTTGTCATATGGTAGCAACGTGTTGGAGTCATCACGTTGAAATCCTAGTTTATTTAACAGACTAAAGTAACCGTGGCTCTAAGCAAGATCACAGTTAGGTTTTGCAGGAAAAATTATTGTTCTGCCTTGTCTTGCAAATAGCTGCTACTCTAAAAAAATAATAAATAAAATAAAGTTTTATTGATTTATCCTGCAGCATGAAGGCTGAGGAAAATCTGTTACAGAAGCAAGAGTGATTATTGCTTCCGTTGTTTGTATCTCATGGTGCAGCCTGAGTTTAAAGGTGTGGTTCCCACAGCTAGAAATTTTGAGGCTCCACTTAGTTATTATTTTAGGATATCTAATTGAAATTATCACCTTGGGGCATGTTTGAGTTTATTTGAAATTTGGGGGGCAGGGGGAACTAACCAAGGAAGATTGCCTCTGATTTTAATTTCATTTTTTAAAATCATGTTGAAGGTCATTTTGCAAAAGACTGCTTCATGCAGCCAGGAGGGACCAAATACACCCTTATTCCAGACGATGATGAAATTCTCCCAGATGATGAAAAGAAGGAACGTTTGTCAGAGGATTCTGTAAAAAAGAGAAAAAAGGTAAGAGATGAGTTTGATGAAAAAGAGAAGTCTAACTTGGCAAAGCTGGACAATGAACAGTTCTGTCATGTCATACATGGTGGTTGAAAGTAATAATATGAAGTATCTTTTAATGGTTTTAATCTCAGCTTGTAAGAGGGAAGTGCATTGTTGTAAAACATAGATAATTGATGGTTGCAGAAGTGAGACTGTGTGTGTATACACACTTGCACGCACGTGCATGCACACACTCATTTGCACACACAGGGATGCACACACATAGAGTTAGGTCCAGAAATAATTGAGTACTGATGCAAGTTTTGTTATTTTGGCTGTTTACTAGAATAAATTCAAGTTACAATTAAATAATGAATATGGTCTTAAAGTGCAGTCTCTCAGCTTTGAGGACATCCCCATCCAAATTGAAGGAAGGATTTAGGAATTACAGCATTGCCCCTTTTTGTTCCATTGCCCCCTTGAAAAATGAAATCGCTCCCTGGGGGGCGATATTGCCCAGGTTAAAAACCACTGGGCTAGATTATATGACACAGAGATAGCCAGGTAGATTGCACCATACTCTATTTTGCAATGAGTCACTTTATATACACATGGTGAAAAAAGCATCACTATTACAAAATTTAACTTCATTCTGTTAGAGATGTGTTCCATAGTACTCTGCTTAACAGGAAACTTCTCTGATGACCCCTTCCTAACAGGAAAAGAAGAAGAAAAAGAAACACAAGAGCAAAAACCCTTCTTATCTGCAGGATTCTGACAGCAGTGATTCAGACAGAGGTGGTCAGCCAGCCAGAAAGAAGGCAAAGCAGACTGAAAAGCCCAGTGTGTCTCAGAAGAAAAAGAAGAAGAAGCACCATAAGAAAAAGCACAAGGAATAAGAAGCAGATAATGGGCAATGGGCCCTGCTGACATGGCAAGCACTTCTTGCCACTCCAGTATCAATTGGTGAAAAGAGCAGCTGAGCCAGAGCAGCTTGCGTTCAGACAAAGGACTTTTATTCCTGAAAAGAGGCATTGTTTCCTGCAAATTTTCATAAGGAATGCCATTTTTCTCTCGAAAAATAAGAGAGCCAGCTGAAGTTGAGTGCTCCTTGCTCCAGATGTGGCTTTCACTCATGTGAAAATCCTCTATTTCCATAGTTCCATTTCTTCTGGGCAAGGTGCCAGTACTGCAGCCCGTTCCCTGGGAATAATCCTGAGCCATCTGCCAGAATTGTGCTCAACACTGGCCGTCCTCATGCTGTTGATGGCAGCTCTGTGTTGATTCAGTATCTGCCAATTATTCTTCACACACCAGCAGAAGGAGTGGTAGGCACGTTTTCTCAGCTGATGTGGCATGATTGGCACAAAGCAGATCACCCCACTGCCTTTTGTTGTTCAGTTTGTGTGAGGCCCTGAAAGGAAAAATTCATAGTGGCAGCCCTGCCAGTGAACGTTGGCCACTTGGCTAATGAAAGCTATGAAATAAAGCTCCCTCCAAACCGCTTGTTCTTTGATTTGCAGTGCAGCTGATTAACTCCAAGGAGGCCTTCCATGATCTTGTCCTTGCCCTGTGAGACACAGAGTACCCTTTAAGACAGAGTTAGTTACAGATTGCTTATCCTCAGTATTAAATTGTCATTTCTGCAGTACTGGTGTAGTTACTGTATAACTGTACACAGTTATATCATGTGAAAACAAAACTCTACTTTTCATTGCAGCTTCTCCAAATCCAGACAAAATGTAGCTTCCTGTGGAGACAAAAATTGGGATGGGCGATGTAAGGGGAGTGGAGAGTATTACGACTTCTTTCCACTCATAAATCTCTCTCTGCAGAGAGAACACAAACTGGATGTCTTGTCAAAAATACAACTGGTCTACATAATCATACATGAAGTGACCATGACTGGCTATATTTATGATTCAATACGGCTTTAAAGGAGCACTGTGGAAGACAATGTTATGCAGTGAGGCAATGCAATGGTTTTTATACCACAGAAAGAATACTTCTGCTTTTTTCCTGGAGTGCTTTACTCAGGGTCACTGATACAAAAGTTTTCCAGTTTCACCAGGGTCATTCTGGTGGAATTGGGAAACTCTTAAAAATTGACTAGGAAGTCTCTTCCATAATGTTAGTTGGAAGCTGATGCAGCTATTATTAGTTAAGCACATAGTACCTGGCAGGTAGAGGCAGAGATCTTGAGACCATTCCTGCTTTTTTACTACCTTTTCCTAATAATAATGTTCTATCAAGTCAATTCTGACTTGTGGTGACCCTTTTCAAAGTTTTATAGGTAGAGAATACTGAGAAGTGGTTTACCATTCCCTGCTTCTGAAGGTAGGATGGTAGAATTAGAATGAAACACACTGTGACATTTCTGTTAGTTTTATTGATGGAAAGACATGTACAGGATGTGCAAAGAAGGTCAGGCCACCAAAGATGAATACAGACAAGTAGAAAGGAAATGCTGGGATGGCATTAGGAGAGCAAAAGCTAAGAATGAGCTGAGGTTAGCTAGAGACACTAAAAGCAATTTTAAAAAAGCATTCTTCAGGTATATGAGTAGCAAAAGACAAAAGACACAGTGGCACAGCTCCGCAATGGAGATAGAAAAATGGTAACAGAGGACAAAGAAAAGGGAAGGGTGCTCAATTCCAATTTTAGTTCAGTCTTTTCCCATAAGTCAGACTATGAACTTCCAAACAAATTGGAAGTGCAAGTGGGGGGGGGACAGGATTGCAGCTGGAGATTGATAAACAATTAGTCAAGGAATACCTTACCATCTTGAATGAATTCAAATCTTCAGGGCCGGATGAACTGCATCCAAGAGTACTGAAGGAACAACTCTCAGAACCGCTATCCATTATTTTGAAATCATGGAAACGGGAGGTGCCAGAGGATTGGAGGAGGGCTAATGTCCCTATCTTCTAAAAGGGCAAAAAGGAGGAACCTGGGAACTACAGGCCAGTCAGCTTGAATTCTGGAACAGATCATTAAAGTGTTCATTGGGCAAGCACCTGGAAAACAAAGCAGTAATAACTAGAAGCCAACATGGATTTGTCAAGAACAAATCCTGCCAAACTAATTTGATCTCATTTTTTATCAGGTAACCTCCCTGATAGGCGAGGAATGCTGTGGACGTACTATATATTGACTTCAGGAAAGCTTTTGACAAAGTGCACCATGATATCCTGATTAGCAAGCTGTGTGGGGTGGATAGATCAAGGGTCAGGTGGATACACAATTGGCTACAGAACTACTCAGAGGGTGATGATTAATGAGTCCTCTAACTGGGAGGAGGTAACAAGTGGGGTACCCCAAGGCTCAGTCCTGCACCCGGTGCTCTTCAATATGTTTTTCATTAATGATTTGGATGAGGGAGTGCAGGAAATGCTTGTCAGATATGTAGATGATACCAAATTGGGTGGAATACTAAATACCCTAGAAGACAGAAGCAATTCAAAATGACCTTGATAGGATGGAGCACTGGGCTGAAAGCAACAGAATGAAATTCAACAGGGATAAGTGCAAAGTATGGCACCTTGAAAAAAAAAAGCAGTTGCACAGTTACAAGATGAGGGATCCCTGGCTCAGCAAAACTACAAGTGAGGATCTTGGAATTGTCATAGATCACAAGCTAAATATGAGTCAACAGTGTGATGTGGCTACAAAAAGGCACGTGCTATTTGAGGCTGTGTTAATAGAACTATAGTTTCCAAATCCCATGAGGTGCTAGTCCCCCTCTATTCAGCACTGGTTAGGCCTCACCGTGAGTCATGTGTTCATTTCTGGACACCGCACTTCAAGAAGGATGCTGACAAATTGCAACAAGTACAGAGGAGAGCGACAAGGATGATCAGGGGGCTGGAAACCAAGCCCTATGAGGAAAGGCTGAAATAATTGGGCATGTTTAGACTTGAGAAGACTGTGGGGTGATAGCACTTTTCAAATATTTGAAAGGCTGTCATACAGAGGAGGGACAGGATCTGTTCTCATTCCCAGAGTGCAGGACACACAACAATGGACTCAAGTTAAAGGCAGTCAGATTTTGGTTGAATATCAGGGAAAACTTCCTAATTGTTAGAGCAGTATGACAGCAGAACCAGTTACCTCTGGAGTTGGTGAGTGCTCCAACACTGGAGGCATCCGAGGAAAACTTGGGACAATCACCTGGCAGATATGCTTTGATTGTATTCCTGCACTGAGCAGGGGGTTGGACTTGATGGCCTTGTAGGCCCCTTCCAACTTCACTTTTCTATGAAAGTGAATTAATCCTATCCAGTGGTTTGTTTTGGGGGAATTCTGGTCCGCTCACATACCCCCAGGAATAGAGTTCTTGAACTGGCACTTCTCGACTGGTTTGTGGAGAACAGAATCCAAATGCCAATGCAAAATTGTAACTGTTAATCATCTCAGTAGCCATTAAAAACAACTAAGGTGACTTGATCAGTAAGAACATGTTCTCGAGATGCTCAAGAATAACAAGGCGAAAGCTGTCTGGGAAGAGAATTCCACAGATGGGACACTGCTGCTGAGGAGGACATGTATATCTGGCAGCCAGTTTTCTTTCCTCGTGGCAAGAATACTCTTAAGGACAGCCTCCAAAAATCCTGTCTGTGCAAGGCCAGGCTGCAGTAAGAGGACATATGCTTTCAGTGCGTACCTGGGTTTCTAGAGGTAGACTAGTACTGTAAGTGATGAAAGTTAAGGAGGGTGCTGAGTTTCAGCTCAGAAGTTCTAAGGAGCTTGCATCTACTTCACCATGTAAAGTGGTGGCAGTTTTTCAGGGTTTCAGCCACAGCTTTCTCAGCCCTGGTTGGAGATTTCAGGGATTGAACCTGAGACACTCAAAAAGTATGCATGGGGTCTCCCATTCAGCTGTGACCTTTTAAACAGGTGGAATAACGTGCATCCGAAATTGATAGGACTTGCTTTAGAGTTCAGATTCTAAATATGCTTTCCTTTGCAGCCTTCACTACAAACTACCAGTTTTTTCAAAGAAGGAGAAGCCTGGGAGGAAACAGAAAGACCAAACGTATACTGGGGAGGAAGGAGAGAAAAGGAGGGAAGGAATAGGGTATATGTGGGGTACTAGGATTTCTAAATCATACAAGACTAGTACTTTTGCTGGTAAACTAACATTTTAAGTTCTAGTTCTCTAGAAATCAAAGGATGGCCACCGTTATATTTTGAAAACATGTCAGTGTTGTTTCGTAGTTAGAAAGGGCTCTGTGGTTAAATGAGTAACGTAAAAGGTTGCAGGCACTTCTAGATACTGATGAACTGACCTCATGTAAAACACCATATAATCCTGTTACTTAGTGTGGTGAGTTGCAACTAGAGTAGGACCACTGAATCAGTGGGGATTTGGGTAAGTTCTATTGATTCAGTGGATCTACTGTAGCTGCAACTTACTACGCTAAGCAGCAGGATTGGAGTAAATACTTTTCTCCTTCTGGAATCGGCAATATTCCATTCTAAAAGATGTTGAAATGGGATGGTGCATTTCCTATAATGCATAATAATGTACAGTGCAGGAAATGATTTCTCAATTATCATTCGGTTTTTAAAATCATCCTGGGAACTTAGGTAAGAAGTGGATTTTCAAGAATCCACTTAAATTCTTAAAGACAGGTACAGTTCCAAACAGGGTTTAAAGTATGTTACCTGCGTTTGAGAAAAACAAGTGGGAAACAGCTAGGTGGGAAACACCTTTGCTATAGAACCAGACTTGTATGGCTGAGAAAACATCTTGATTTCGTAGATTATTACTGTTTTGTCAGAATGCAAATACACTTTAAATGTGGAGTTCATTCCATGGTGCACTAATGGAATTACTACCAAGCCTGCGGGCAAGAGGAAAGCTCTAGCAATACTGATGATCTAATAAGCAAAACATCCACAGCGTTTGGCTACTTTATAGACCAATTTTGAGCAAACACAGGGTGTCCATTTCAAAATAAAACAGATTACACATTCATAGAAACAATCAGACATTGTTATGTTACAACTGCTTCAGTTTATTGTTTGTTCACATTGCTTTCCCCTTTTTCGTTATTTAAAAAAAAAACCCAAGGATCAGCGTTCAGAGGCAGTCGTAAGACCTGTTCAAGTTGATACTGGATGGGTTCAAATATGTGCAGGAACTATACAAAAACGGGGGGGGGGGAGAGAGACCACACACAAGCAATTTGGCAGTGAGTTTGGCATTGGATGAAGAGTGGCAAAATGCAGGTGAAGGCGCTATTCTGCTTTTTGATAGGTGCGGGTGCAGACTACATTTCCCATTGTCAGAGTCTGAAAGGCAAGCAGAGAGGTTCATAGATAAAGCGGTTGTACTTATGATTTGATTTCAACTTATGGCAGCATACATCCCCAGCAAATTTCCAAGGTCACCCTAGGATCTGAGTCCAGATCTTCTAAGTCCCAGTCCATCCACTACAGCACATTGGCTTTCCCTGGGTTGTGCAGTTATGGTAAAAAAACAAAGTAGATCTCATGTTTGAAATGTGCCCATATATATCAATCTGGTAAGGACTGAATGTACTTGATGCCGTGGAGTGCTGATGGAAGCACTTCATATCACAACATTTTGTTGCATGAGTCTCGCTTGGTGAATATAACTGAGTGACTCAGCACTGCAGTTTTTTTTAAAGGAGGAATTTGTGGCAACTCATTATTTCCAAATAATGCTTCTTGCTTGGTCATTTTCAGGCACATTTTTATTTTATTTATTTATTTATTTATTTAATTTATATGCCGCCCACACTACCCAAAGGTCTCTGGGCGGCTTATGTGACAGGGCAGCTAGAAAAGTGTTTTAAAGAGTGATCTGCATCTGTCCCACCACTTTTTCCTTTAAATTTTTCCCATGTCCATATAGTTGTAATGACCTGAAATGTACTTTGTCCATACGTACCAAAATTAATTTTCCATCCTTCAGTTCTCGGACTAATGAGGTCTCTTTTCCATCCCATTTCTGCACATGAACAAGCTTCCCTCCTTCTAGTGTCACAACAGACTGGAGAAAAAAAGAATCAAGATCAATCTATTTATTAAATAAAAATAATAAAGGAATTGCCGCAGGCTTACCGATAGAGAATTCCTGGGCTTGTTACCCACCTACACATCCACCCTCGTTTAACAGCAGTCATTTATAGTGGACCAGTTCCTCAAAATAAAACAAACTCTCTCCAGAATACTGGATTCCAAATCAGACTTAAATGGGAAACAAATAACAGGATATTTAATTACAAGGTTGAGCTAGGTCACAACTACAAAGTAACATTCAATAAGTCATCTGATGTGCTGTAACTTTTTCTCTGGAACATCAGCGGCCTTGAATATTAACAGGAACATAGCAGATGTGAGAGATTAACCTTTGCGAGAAAATATTTTGTGTACATGTGCTCTTTATATTACTTCCCATACTGCCCTCTCCACAGCAGAGTCCACAATTACAGGAAGCTATTTTCCGTGTGTATAGTTGTGAGTGCACACACCAAAAAATTGCAAGTGTTCTGCCTGCTATCTTTCTTACAGTACGGGAACCAGCAATGCCTAAGTTACCAGGATCAGCAGACAATGTTCTAGTGGTGGCAGATTATGCCCTTTTTCCTGCTGATCCAAAAGTCTCACTGCTTTGATCCCACCATCTTTGGCTCCACTGTAGCATTGCTCCCAATCCAAGGTCATGTCACCCCCTTCCCTGAAACGGCTTTTTGACCTAAAAGGAAAACTGCCAATTTGGGCATCAGTTGGAGCCTATCAGTTAGTATGGGTTTCGCCCACTTCTGGCTTCCGAATCAGTGCAAGATGGGCAACTGCTGAATAAATAGAAATTACACAGAGAAGATGACATTACACTCAGAAGGGCTTTAATAATGAGGATTATGCTGTGGTGGTGACCCCTGCTGTGAATGTCCTAGCACATCTGTGATGCACATCTGTGGTCTTTGCATGGAAGACAATTGCAATTAACAATCAGAACTGCGAGACATGAGGCTACAGTGAGCCATGATGAGCGTTGCAGGCCAACAACATCTGAAAGGCTATCGAAAGAGCTCAGACTGGCCAGGCTGCCTGGTGGGGGGGGATCCTGGGAGTTGTTATCCAAATGGCAATTTACACTACGAACAATAACGATGCAGTGGCTTTGCTGGCTGGAGGATTCTGGGGCATGTAGTCTGAAATGCCTTCCTAGCTCAGGGCACACTATCACTAAATTACAGAACTGTCTGGCGAGAATGGAGATAAACTTCTTCCTCTCAATGCACCACCAGCTGGGTTAGTACTTCTGCAAATGCAAGTTAATGTCTGCTGAGGTGGCTTTGGTATGTCTGTCTATCCAATGCATTATTCACTTTTCCAAACTGACGCTAGTCCACAAAGCAATGTGTGGGAGATCCATTTAACATTTTTGGGGAGGGGTGTCAAATCTCTTTAGTTGTGTGTTCCAGTGATTTTTTACAGGCTTAAACAAATGTGAAAATTGTGCCTAATTTATCCCATTGATAAATGGGATATCCCATTGATTTCAGTGAAACTTAGCCTGGAAAGCATGACTTTAGGTGCCTACACTGAAATGGATAGAAATAGACGTAGCAAGGGAGTGGTATCTGAAAGGCACAAAAACATATGCAAAGAAAACCTGTTAAGTCTTCATAGTGGCACAAAACTGTTCCTTTTGCTGTCGCAAACTAAACAGGGCCACCCCCATGAAAAATGACAGACAGAAATGTCCTCTTGGAGTAAGGGGTTCTTACTCATGGAAGCAACTTCCTGTAGCTATCTTGGCAAACAAGTTAGACCTTCGCACTTTGATCTTTTATGCCATACGAAAGAAAGTTGTGCTACTGGCTTTTCTTATCTAAAATGGTGCGGAATGACAGCCTGTAGAACCAAAGCTTTAGGATAACTGGTTTTACAACTTTGGAACTATAGGAAGCGCTTAACTAATATAGTTATTCAGCTTTGCAATGATAACTTGTGATGGTGCCATAAAACGTTTCTTTAAAAAAAAAATCAGGACTGCAAGATTGAAGTCATTTAACTGGAAGGCTGAAATTTTGTGGGAAAAAAGTGCGTCTTATGGTGCGAAAAATACGGTAGTTATTCAGCTTTGCAATGATAACTTGTGATGGTGCCATAAAACGTTTCTTTAAAAAAAAAATCAGGACTGCAAGATTGAAGTCATTTAACTGGAAGGCTGAAACTGAGGAGCAGATTTTATTTGATTATAGATCCACTTTGGCTCTTAAATCACTGGAACCAGAAATGATCAAAAGAATGTTAACAGATGGTCATTGTAAATCACTTCCTACTTCATACCAGAAAAAAAATTAGCCACTCTAAGGACTGCAGTTTTATTAACTTGTGATAAATCCAATGATTAATCAAATGAAAGGAACTTTGAAAAGAGTCAGCAAGCCTGTAAAAAACATAACCAGGGCTAATGGAACTGTTCTCCCATAGGATGCAAATGTGAATACCTAAAAAGCTCGTGCTTGTCCTTCAAAGTAAATCAGTTTGGCTGGCAAGCCGCCAGAGGACAAATAGCTGGAGCAACATGATTATGGCCTGCAGGAGCACCAGCTTCAGAGGTGCACGCTGGACAGACAAGCTCAGACCAACATCTCCAAACCCAAACAATTGCCACTCCAGCAGGAGAGTGAGCAGGAGGCTCTGGGGGTAAAACCCAGCTGGTGGGAGGGACACTGCTTTATGGAATAGCCACTGATAATATCAAATGCTGTGGCTTGCTAGAGAATCAGGGAAGGAAGACTCTCTTGAGCAGAATCTCCATACTAAAATAGGCCAACCTGGCTAATAACCCAACATGCAGTAGACCACTTCCTGCTTCTCTCGTGCCTTTCCCCAGCATTCCAAACTCTTGCTGACCTCCCTCCCCGCCCCCATACACAGAAGACAAAAAGGGAATTGGAATCAAGGACTGGGACAAGCAGCCCTCAGAAACCCTATGCCATGTTTCAACAGTGGGAGAGAAAATGGAAAGCCTTTGTGTAGCATCTCTACCATAGCTCTGTGTTAAGCAGGTTGCCTCATTGATATATGTTTTCATCACAACCATTAAACTACAGATAGAAATCCCGAGTTCACACCTACAGGGCATAGTCCAAAGGCCATTTGGTAGGCCTGATTCCAGCTCCACTGGCTGAAAAGGTCAGGCGGAACTCATAAGAAGGGTCCAGTCAAACTTATCTATCTACCCTGCTAGGACAAGCGAAAAAAGGTGAAATAGCCACTGCCTTGGTGTGGGCTTCTAGCTCCATGATGGAATACATGCCTTGCATGTTACAGATTCAGATCCCTATATCTCCATTAAAAAACCCCAATCAGGTAGTATGTAACATGGAAACATCTGTGCTCGGGACTTTAGAGATTTGCTGCCAAACAAAGCAAACCACAGAGGGCCAACTGATCACATAGCAAGACCTCAGAATAGGACAGATTGTTGCATTCTTATTGTAATTTACCTGGGAAGATACATTGTTAGGCTACAGGTCACAAAATACAAAATGGCTGGTAGAATTCTGAGAGTTGTAGTACAAGGAAAGTAACTTCTTTGAGGCCGGCTTGTTGTCTAGCCCATTAGTAGCCTGCCATGGACTCAGCTCCTATTCTGTTCAAAGCCTAGTCCTGAAATCTTACTTTGACATGTCTGTCGTCTGCTGTTGTCTCATCAAATTCTTCTTCCAGTTTGAAGTTGATCTCTGTGCTCTTGAATGTGCTCTGGGTCTTGATGGTCACCTTTTCCCCATCAACTTCAATAATGGTGGTGGGTTTGGTCAGGTTTGCTATCTGTCTTGTAGCAAAGCCCACACCTGCAAGAAAACACAAGCAGAGCCCATCAAAATCACCCCGCCATGTGCAGCCTAAAAACTTCCGATCTGCCAGTGGTGAATCTTGAACTGCCACCTCAGCATTAAAGAGCTGGAAGAAATTACTTTTGTGGGCTATACCTCCCAGAACCCAGTGGCCATCGTGGCCCATTGGCATTGTGATCCAAAAAAGTAATATTCACAAGTTATAGGTCTTCCCCCTAACTTATTTCTTTAGATGTTTTAAGGAACCCTGTATACAGTCACATGACTTCTACCAAATTACAGAGCAACCCTAGATTCCTCTACAGTCACACACACGTCTCTTTTATTTGTTTGCTTTTCCACCGGTCTCACTCATCAATCCTTTGTTTGCATGCGTATCTGGGAAACATAGACTTTGTGACCCCTAATCTCAATACTGTACTGCAGGAATAGGCATCCTAATATCCTCTAGATGTCACAGATGTCTTCTAAGCAGTCAGACTAGATTAGGGATTATGGGGACATAGAGTAAAACATCTGGAGCACATCAGATTCCCTTCCCCTACCTTATTATAATACTGTATATTTTGTTATATATGGGCTGAGAAAAGGTACTTGTGTGGACTACAACTCCTAGGAGGCCTTAGCGATGCTAGCTTGGAGAAGTAGTCCCCAAACATTTCCAAGGTCTGCTTATGGAGATAGAGGATCTCCATTTGCTTGCCATCCTCCCATATCATATTAAGCCATGGTTTACATTAGCCACTGCTTGTTACTTAAGCCATCAATGGACCCACTAACAACGCAACACCTCTTTGCTGTCTTTAGTGCTGTATGTTTCTCTTCTGTCTCATTCATTGTTTTGAGATGGTCAGGTAGGAACACAAAGGAGTAACTATGGTTAGATTGAGACATAGCAACAAATTTTATTTTATAATATTGGTTTTATGCCATTTTTATTGTTAACTGCCCAGAGTAGACTTGGGTCTAAATGAGCAGGGTATAAATGTAAATAAATAAATAAATAACCCAACAACACAAGCCAAGAACACACCATAGCTCCTCACTGTGGTTTCCAGCTGGTTAGCAAACCATAGTTTGTTTGTAAAGGTGGGTTTGAACTTGACAATAAGCTTCAGTTCAATACACCTCAACATGGCTTACTCATATGTACAAACCCAGCCACAAATTCCATAGCTTTGTTCCCAACTTGTCTCTGTTTGGGGTTCATCTGTGACAGTGGGAAACAAAATTATGGGTTACATAGCTTGTCTTCAGCTGCTGGGTTCAGTAGTGGGTCATATCCACTTACCATAGATGTGAAAAATAGTATTAAGACTATACATTGGGCTACTTTCCAAATCAGATGCTTAAAAAGTTACTTTTTCAACTATATTACCCAGCATCCCCAACCAGCATAGTCACTGGCAATTCTGGGTGGATTTTTTTTTTTGGGGGGGGAAGATGTAAATAAAAAAAAACTTTCTCTAACTCTGCTTGAGAAGATGTTAGACTGCAGCTCCCACCAGACCTTACCATTGGCCATGCTGACTAGAGTTCATTTTTATTTATTTATTTAAAATGTTTTACCCTGACTTTCTCCTTAAAACAGGGGTCCCCAACCCCTGGTCTGTCGTTTTACCCCAACTTTTTCCTTAAAACAGGGGTCCCCAACCCCTGATCTGTGGCCCGGTGCCGGTCCATGAGCTTCCCGGGACTGGGTCACGGATATGAATCTCTGCCCGCCCGGCGGGTGTGTTGCACTCTCGGGTGTGTGTGTGTGTTGCACTCAGGGGCATGCATGTGAGCGCGACACACACCATGCCAGTCCATGAGCTTCCCGGGACTGGGTCGCGGAGATGGATCTCCGCCCGACCGGCGGGGGGGGTGCACTCTCAGGGGGGGGGCGTGTTGCATTCAGGGGCATGCATGTGAGCGCGACACACACACCCGAGTGTGGGTGGCCCCCTGCACAAGGAACCCCCAATTGTGGGCGCCCCCCCCGCACAAGGAACCCCCCCAACCAGTCCACAGTTCCAAAAAGGTTGGGGGCCGCTGCCTTAAAAGGACCTAGGGCGGCTTATATCATTAAAAGACAATATTTAAAGCTACAAACAATGTGTTTAAAAAGGCAACATACATTAAGGCAACATTACAGCTAAAAATCGTAAGTATGCAAATATTAAAAAGGAACAAATACCACTGTGAGAAATGGTAAACACAAGTAGTACTAAAAACCTCAGTTAAAGTAGTAATGCATAACAATCCATCTAAAAAATCACACTCAGGTAGCCAGTCACTCAGAGAAAACCTGCCTGAAGAGAAACGTCTTTGCTTGCAGAAGGATAGTAAAGATGCGGCCACCTTTGCCCCCTGTGGGAGGGAGTTCCAAAGTCTGGAAGCAACAACAGAGAAGTCTCTCTCTTGTGTCCCCATCAGACACACCTGTGAAGGTGGAGGGACTGAAAGAAAGGGCGTATCTTGATGATCTTAGCACCCAAGCCGGCTCATAGTGGGAGACACAGTCCTTGAGATAGCTTGAACCCAGCCCATTTAGGGTTTTATAGGTTGAAACCAACACTTTAAATTTTGCCTGGTAACTGATTGGCAGCCATTGCAGGTGCTGTAACAGAGGGGTTATGTGATCTCTGCAACCAGCCCCAGTCAGCAATCCAGCTGCTGCATTTCGGGCTCGCTGAAGTTTACTGTGTCCCTTTCCATTGGCAGCCCCACATAGAGCATGATACAGTCATCCATCTGGGATATAACTAGGGCGTGTGTCACCGTGAGCTAGTTGATGGGAGCTTCAGACCAACATCTGGATGGCCACATATTCCCTATTTCCAATATCAAGTAATAGATAGTATCAAGTCAATTTTAACTGACATCAATCCTCCAAGGGTCTCTGAGGTGTAGAATACTCAGAAGTGTTTTACCTGTACCTGCCTTTGGTGGTGCTCTGAGACCATGCCCCTTGCCCAAGGCCAGCCATGTGGCAGCATATCTAACTCCATCAGCCACACACACCACCTTTTCTGGACCCTCTCTTAGGAGGCACTCTGTGTCTTTGAACTCCTGACGCCCAACATCTACAATAGCTCCTGATATAAACAATTGGTTCAAAATACGTTCCCAAATAGAAAGGTGCCGTTTTTCGGTATGATCTGACAAGGTGCTTGGGATGTTTGCAAAACAGCACGATCAGTGTGCACAGACAACAACCACCCTCCCCACAACTAGTTAAACTGGTCTCAAAAGTTTCAGTTTCCAAACATAGTATGAAGATCCACCTGTTTCCAACTGCCGTGAGCAGAGGTGCTTCCCCTTGAATGGTTTGGGATGACCGACCGAGGGACAGAGACAGGAGCCTCCCTGAAGGGTACACTTCGGTGTCCCCTAGGCAGAAGCAACACCACTCGCCAACCCTTCCCTTCCAGGAACACTGGAACGCGATGAATCCCACTTCATAGACACCTATTCCCCGGATGACAGTTGAAGCCGGGGAAAAGTTTTTGCACACCTCTCAGGCTCTTAACAGCTTCTGGTCAAAAACAGTCTGATTGTCTTGATATTTTAATTGGTTTTTGACTTTGCCTGTATTTCATTTGTGCCAATGATTTTGAATTGTGCAGTGTTCTGATTCGAATTTAAAAAGACCAATTTCTTTTTGCTGCTTTTAAGCCAGGCAATTTATGGTTTGTGTCATTTTAGGGATCACTCAGCTGAACTGGTTTGGATTTCGCTAACTCTTGCTTTAGACAAAAGTATTGTTGAAATTCTGGTTTTCAAGTTATGTGTTGGGAGGCCCTCCCGGCCCAAAAAAGGAACCGAAAACTGTTTCAGGTCAATGAAAATTAAAGTCTTGCTCATAAGAATCAAAGTAGAGGTGGAGTCCTTCACTGCACTTCAAGATAGGAATGCAGGCCTCTACAATCTGCCCTAGGAAGGAATAAGAGGAGTGGCCTTTCCTGGCATCCAGCCACACCATGGAGAGAGGACTCCTAAAAGCCCTTGTGGTATTTGCACAAGATAGAGAGAGCTCTTAGTTGCAGCCTAAGTTTGGAGCTCCTCCCTCGTTGCCACTTGCATTCTTTTGGGGTGAACTTTCCCCACATTTGGCTGCTGATCTGGTTGAAGTTTCACCTCTGTTAGCCTCCCTCCAATCCAAAAGAAAACTGTCTTAAGCCCTGGAAAAGACCACATCCTGTGGCTAGCAATCACTCTGCCTTTCTCAAAGAGCAACCCATGAATTATAGTGTCAGACCTGGGCTCCAGTCCCCCATGCAGTCATAAAGCCACCTGGGAAACTTGGGCTGTTTGTTCAGCTGTGCCTACCTCACAGGGTTGCTGTTCTGACAAATGGGTCATGGAAGGATCCTCCTGAAGTAGGTGAATTATAGGTCCAGTCTTTCCTTACCATTGGCCACGTTACTTGGGCTGAAGACCAAAAACCCAGATGTTTACATGTTTGCCACCCCCACTCGATACTCTGCAAACTCTCTCATTTTCCCCATTAATTGATGGGTGTGGTTATAATTTTTAGCGCATAAAACTAGGGCAGGGAAGACCCATGTTCAGATGCCCATTGGCTCATAAAGTTCAGTAGCTGATTTTTGCCTGGTTGCTCAGTTACACCAGAGGTTAAAAGGGGCTGAGTTGGCTGGATAGCACAGTAGTTTAGTCGTTGGGAGTTCAATTCCCCGCTGTGACTCCTGTGAATAAAGTCAGCCTGCATGGCCTTGGGCAAGCTGCGCAGTCCCAGGGCACCTGCAGAAGAAGGGCGTGGCAAACCACTTCTTTACCTGGAAAACTTTGAGAAAGGGTCACCATAAGTCAGCATTTACTTGATGACACATGATAATAAAAAGGAGATAGGAGTGGGGCCGTGCATGCACCTCCGAGTTCCCAAATGGAATGGTTGTTTGTGTGTGAAACAGACAAGAGAAGTGTTAGAAAGAGGCTAACTTTGAGAATGGAATGGGAAACAGGACCGCCTGGTCTACTCATCCCCAACAATGGAACAGCCAGCAAACCTCACCTGTGTGTGTGCACGTGCGCGCCATCAAGTTGCATCTGACTGTGGGTGGTGGCTTTGACCGAGTTTTTCAAAGTGTGTGAGGATATTGAAGAAATGGGTTTTTCCCCATACGATCACTAGTGAGTTTCCACAACCAAGCAGAGATGTTATTCCAGGTCTCCCAAGTACTAACTAGTCCATCACTCTGTTGACTACACGCCAGTGTGCACATGATTAAACAGTCACAAGCCTAGTCGGAAAGCACACGCTTCACATGTATTTGAAAGCTTTCAGTTAAAATGGCTCCTATTAGTAAGGGAGGGGAAAGGCTGCTGCTCAGGACCTGATTCCAGTCAAGAGTCGGTAATGCAGGGCTAGACAGGCAAAAAAAGGCTGGACAAGGCAGTCTGATACCTCTGTTTCTTGCTAGGCTATGTCACTATTTATTTATTTATTTTTGACCTTTGGGCGTTTGTGTGCTTTTGAAGGAGGTGAACAAGAGTGGTTCCGAGGTGGGAGAGGACCCACACCTCTCCCCTCCCTCTCCCCCTTTGTCCAGCCCTCCTGCAGCTCCAAGTGCTGGCTTCCATTGGGGAGGGGGAGGGAGAGCACTGGTGGTGGAGACAAAAGACAGAGCAGCAGGCTAGAAAGATGCTGCTACTCCACGTCTCTGCCAACCAGTGCTCTGGCCAATGAATGCGGAGGGCTGAGTTGGAAAAAAAAATTGGGGGAGGGGGAGAGACTATAGGTACCAAAAGCACCCAGTTGTATTAGCTGGGGGATTCTGGACATTGTAGTCCAAAACGTTTGGTTTCTTCATCAGTCCCAATGACAGGATTTCAGGACTGTTCTGGGTCAGGTGGTACAGGTGAAGCATATGGAAATATGTGTGTGTGTGTGTGGGGGGCGGCACATGAGCCTTGAAAACGAGTCCCCTCCATCATTTCAGGGTTGGCGGGTCATAATTCCAGGACTCCCGGGGATCCGTTCTGCTGCTGCTCAGCAGACATGGGGGCTCGGAAGAGAGACGGGGGCGGGGAGCCAAGAGACGGTGCCG